CTCGGTCCAGTGCTCTCGCCAATAGCGCTTTTGTCTCCTAGCAGAGGTGGGTTCATGGCTCGTTAAAGCTCCACCGGATAACGTGCGCGTGTGCCCAAAGTCTTTGGCCTCCAATCAATCCATGGCTCATGGTGTTCCAACCATGCCATATCAACGATAAGGTCATACCTTGCATCCAAGTCTAAGACTAGACAACGTTCCACGCTATCAAAGTAAAAACACTTGACTCCGAGATCCGCAGGGACCTTCGGGGCCGTGACACGTGTCCCCATCGCTAGGCGAACAGTGACGATGTCACCCAACCGCACTGTCAGCGCCTCAGCATATTGCTGACTTTCTTACATCGTGGAGCGTCGAGCATAATTTCCTGACGCCCCGGAATCGATGAGGATCTTCCATGGCTTCTTGAAGCTCTTTACGGTCTCCTCCGCGACCAGCAAGCCCGGCTTGCATACACGCCCCGTGTTCAAGAGCACGGAGCTCTTCGGGGCTGGGCCCTGTTGATCTATGCCTCCCTGAGGCTCAACAAAACTCAGTTCTTCCTCAGTAGGTCGCCCCGCGCCTACTGAGTGGTGTCCGTTCCCCGCGATGAACCAGACTGGTAGGCGTTGGGGTGATAATTCAAAGATCCTTGATGCGCCTTGCGCAGGGGGCAACCGTTCCGCAGGCGACGGGTGTCTCCACAGACATAACACCGTCGTGTGTTTGCATGCTGCCCAGAAGGTCGGAGCTCTGCTCCCTCGTCTTCAGCATAGCTGAGATCCATGGGCATAGCCCCGCTAGACGAGCTGTTGGAGTGTGCATTCCAACCAAGTCGTGCCGACTAATCGCCTCTTCAAATGAGAGCGGATGCACACGGAAGACTTCCATTCTGGCCACGCCAAGCGGAGGCCTTCCATGAACACGGTCACTGTCACCGTCTTCGGGAGGGGATCTGCTGCCATCCCGGCAATAAGAGTTCGCATCCCTTGGACAACGTCCACCAATTTCTTGGTGCCCTGTCG